GCGAGTTTCTCCAGTGATTTATGCTCTCCAGTTTTACCTACAACGGCCTCTCTTAGATGTTGCAGTTACCTGGGCGCTTCGAATTACGGCACAATTTCATACGCGCTGCAAGCACCGGGCGGGTGACTAAGCGCATGCCAGGTGCGTATTCAGCTGACGCCTCTACTATCTACGCGTTGTCTTACGTTATGTATGTACACGTGAAATAACTGCATCAGCAGAAGTTCCGTCGCCCACTTAAAACCAAGGCCGCAGTAGGGATTTTTTTGTTACAGATCGGGTTGGTATTAAAAACGAATGGTGTAACGTTACTATCTAGGCGGGCTTTTGAAAGATTATATGTCACTCTTTGGTCACGTTTTTGAGATATGTGGCTGCAAGCTGTTTATCTGTTAGGGTTGTTATTCGAATTTGGTTTTTAGTGTGAAATGTCGGTAGGGAGGAACGCCTGTGAAAGGGTTTCGTATGTGTGCGATGAAGGATTGGTGTAATACGTCCCGGAGAGGATTGTGGTGTTAGAATTATCCTTCGAGTCGGCCTGGTCCGAACAATCAGCCGAAACGAATATGTGAGATTAATTTTTGGTAACTTGCATCCGAGGCTTAGGGCATGGCGATGTCGTCATTGTCATACCGAGAAAGGGTCTGTCTGTCGGGTAACTAGTTTGAACGCTATTTCTATGATTTTTGAGTAGATCTGTGTTTAATAGTGGGGTGGCGGCCGGGTGTTGCGTGCGGTTGTATGTAGATGAAAAGGAGGAGAGAGAGATGAGGAAGGAGAGAGAGAGAGAGGAAGGAGAGAGAGCGAAGTATAGATATATATGTGTGTGCGCCGGCGCGCGTGGAGGGATGTGGTGGTGTGTGTTGTGTGCATGTCTGCCACTCCCGCTTCTCAGGTTGAGCCTAGGCGAGATGAGTAGTACTGACTGAGAGCCGGCATGCTGTGGATACTTTCGTTGGTTTAAGCAATGGTTCTGACAGGGACCGTACCTCTTGAACAACACGCACGGATAACGGTTAAATGACGAAGTTAGTGACAACGAAAGATCTGGTTTGTGCAATGAAAGAAAGCAGTCACGTCGAAGAAGGAGGTTCCTGACTTAATTGATGTGACGATGAAGAAGAAGAAGTCACTTTCTGCACAGCTAGACGAGTCGCAGTAGCAACGGGTGTGAGCAGTAAGTGTTTAGATAAGTGTTGGTCTGAGCGCGGTCAGTGCCGCACATAATCCTTCTTAGATCTATCATAGGGCGCCGGTTTCTTTGGTGTAGAGTTGGCTTTACGGCATGCTGGAATTCTACTTGCATGGGGGCTAGATTACAAACGACACCTTGTGTTTTAACAAATTGGGTTAGATATCAGGCGGCATGGTTTGCACGAGGTAACGCCGACACGTAGGGTCTGGGCTGCAATTTCCGGATTATTTCCAAGGACGCTATTTATGTAAGTATTACGGGAAGGATACGTAGACGTTACGCAGAGGATGTTAAGGAATAACGGGATCGATGGAGATATTTTCAAGCGCTAATAATACTTTATGTAGTATTATGATACTAATAACGATATGTGATTATTATGTAATAACTAATAAATGAAGTATTTGATGAACTCTGATATTGTGCCAAGGTGCAACAATCGCAACGCATAGGTGGGATCTAAGGATGCCGGGGACCGAGTTAACTGATTGGACTTTTTGGTTCGCTATACGCTACGCCTATTGGTGTATCAGTGGCGGCGGTATGGGTTCTAGCAAGAGGCTGGCTGTTAACGCTACAAGGTCTTTTGGAACTCAGAAAGAGGCTATGCTAGGGTCGCTTCTTTTATCACTGAAATGTCTCCAAGTCAGAACCATGCGGTGTAGGTGGCGCTTGTTTTATTACCGAGAATACGTTTCCAAGTCGGATCGGTGCGCAGTATAGGCGGAAACTGGCACAAACACAGTTCGAGCGCGCAGCCATGAGGTTTGGCGCACTGCTCTATTCTGGACGCTTTCTTCTACTGTGTAGCTAAGAAACGCAGCTTACACGCAGATTGGTTTGGTCGAGTATCGAAGAGGCTAAGGAGGGGTGCGTGTGCGAGGGGGAGGGGAGGGGAGGTCAGCGTGAGGGTAGACCGCTTGCTGTAGAAGCGCGATGGCGTAGGGACGTCCAGAAGCGCCCGATGTTACCCTAATTCTCCGGGCTCTCGGCTCTTGGGTCTTAGCGCGAGAAACACTTAAACGAAGGTCGTGTTATATTCGGGTCACTAAGTTCGACTGGAGCAGGCATATGTGATACTAGGGTACCGTGTCGGAAGCGTCAGTGGTTATGTTGATACGTAGACCTGTAACAGACTGTCCATGCTGCAGTGGCGGTGGGGTTTAACTAGTATCTAGTAGGGTCCGTTGGGTGTTAAGGTAAGGTCGGGGTAACTCGCGGTATTCGAGTACAGGAATGGTCATGGTGCATCGATGGTAGCAGGATGGTCTCGACATTGAGTAATAGAGGCTGATTGATGACAGCGGCAGGTGGTGTGCATGATAGTAGGAGGACGGCTCTCGATTGGGTAGCAGCGATGGTGTGGGCGTAGTGAGCGACGGCTGGTGATTGTCAGGTAGCGGTGGGTTGGATGATAGGAGCCAGACGCTGGAGGATGGGAAGCAGCGCCCGATGGTGATCTAGTGCCAGCGCTGATGATGGCAGCGACGGGTGGTGGTTTGGTGATAGGTAAAAGCACATACGCCGGGCCGCAAGTGGTGTCGCTGTATTAATAGCAACAGGAATATCGAGACGGTGGCTGTGGTAGTGTGCCGAGATTTGGATAGGGGCGTAGCCGAATGTTAATCGGCGCGGCCGCTGGGTGACGGTCTTGGGACGAGTAGGATTGTTCACATGGCCGCGATGCAGGAAGCGCTGCGGACTTACCCACTTCAAAGATCAAACACTGGCATGATTACGTGCGTGGCCATCCTCCCTTACCCCCCCGCCCCATACTGCTACACGCAGACCTGGCCTCAGCTATACCTGCCTACCCCAATACGGCCGCACGCCCTGCCACATCCTGCCTCACCCCCTACCTGTCTTCACCCATTACCGGCCTCACGCCTACCTGCCTACCCTACCTCTCCGCCATTACCTGCTAACCCCTACTGCCTCACGCCCCTGCCCATACGGTGCCTCACCCGCAGACTGGGTCTCACCCCATACCTGTCTACCGCCTACCTGCCTCAACCCCAGCCCTGACTCACCAGATACTGCTTCAGCCCGCTACTGCCTCACCCCTACCTGCGGCTACCCCATACCCCTGCTATGTATCTCAACCACCAGCTATGTCTCCTATGTCTATATATCACAACCACTAGCTATGCCTTCTATGTCTATGTATCTCAACCACCAGCTATGTCTCCTATGTCTATATATCACAACCACTAGCTATGCCTTCTATGTCTATGTATCTCAACCACCAGCTATGTCTCCTATGTCTATATATCACAACCACTAGCTATGCCTTCTATGTCTATGTATCTCAACCACCAGCTATGTCTCCTATGTCTATATATCACAACCACTAGCTATGCCTTCTATGTCTATGTATCTCAACCACAAGCTATGCCTTCTATGTCTATGTATCACAACCAAGAGCTCTACCTCCTATATTCTGATAGCAATGACCCTAACTGCACGGCCACCGTCTCCGTATAAGCTTTCGCTGGCGGAGGAACATGGCGTCGGCGTTGTCCTAACTTGATCGTGGAGGCGATATATATAGGCAGTATTCGCCTCATACCGATGCAATTGTTCTCGACTTTGTGCCAATTATACGTCAGTATTGTGACAAATCGCGGCACACATCAACTCGTCAACCTTTTTTTGTGGCGCTTTAATGTCGGTATGCATCGTGAAGTTTGCGTAACATCGCAATGGCGTAAATCCTCGCCGCAATTCACTTATACGCTTTGAAACAAACCTTCGGTGATTCGCGTGTGCGACTCTGACGAGTAAAGCTGTCAGCCGATGGCAATGAATTCTTGTATCGCAATCATTGGCTAACGCATAATAAATCATCGAGCTCAGCAATCACGCTAAAGTAGTTCACCATGGGCAACAACACGGGCGAACTTGCCGTCAGGCAAGCACAATTGCAATATTGGCCGAAAATTATGTTAAGCGGAGTAACGTGTATATATCACAATATAGACTGTAACGCTGTATTCTTTAACATGTGACGTGATAGCGCAGTGCAGTATTTATGCATACTACCATGGTAATGTAATGCGAAATGTTCTGCCCCGCATTTCCACACGCAATTATTGTTGCAATACCGAAAACACCGAAGTTAAGTCATCTTCCCATGATAGCATGATAAACATTACCAAAATCATTGACAACTCAACACAGATTTAATTACTGGATTAGATTGACGATGTCCGGTAACGATTCTACAACACAGTTGACCTACTGCTCAGAGGTTACATGGTGTCCTATATTATTTCCAAAATATACTAGCATTATCATTGCTCGCGTTCACTAACACCACAAACTTGTCGATAATTTCCTGTCATAAAATCATTCATCCACAGGTGCCACACACGTTTGTGTGTGTTACTGTGTCAACTGGACTAATTGAAATGCCTTATAACCGGTAGATAATCATAATAAAGGTGCAACAAATGACTTGATCCTGTAGTTATGAGGACATTGTATGTTATCCTTAGCTGTTTTTGAAATCTGCAGCACCTAAATCACTATAAATAATATATAATGCGGGGCGACTCATAAAACACAGAAGCTATATTTTGAAATGAAAGACCCGTGCGCGTGTGAACTATGTAAAAGCAGAATGGGAGCATAGCATTGGCAAGCCATAGCGCCTGGCTCGTAACTCATAATTGGGAGATAGAGGACAATTTTGTGCCACACGAACACCTACGTGTCCCACCTGACCTGTCGCGTTCTAACTAAATCACCAGCTAACTACACAATTAATTATGAGAGAAACCATAATCGTACGGCCTATGCTTACCATTCTATACTTGATCCAGTCATCGTGGTTGTAGGCGTACTTCCCGCCTGTCTGTGTCGGCAGCTGATCCTCGTCTATGTAGGGAATGAGAGCTTCACATGACTTTAACAGCAGGCACTGTAATATAACAAACGTGACAGTGAATAGACAATTGGAGAACAAAGAATGTTGTATCTCACTGCCCTGACAATAGCCATCAGATATTTCCAGAAACTAAGCCAATGTTCAGAAATCTAGAAAACTAAAATAGATTTATGAATGTTATATATGGCATGATTATGATTATATTGCATGCACATAAATTCCATTGAATTAACGCGATAAATGAGAAAGAGGGGTGAGGGGAGATAGACAGGTAAACGCACAGAGAGACAGGCAGGGTCAGCGTACGCACGCAAGGTGTAAACTACCTATGCATCCGTGATTAAATTAACTGACATGAACACTTCGCTGAACAGAGGGTCAAACGAGTTTAGAATCGGCACGCATATTCTTGCACTATATACGATATCTACATACATCTATGTTACACTTCCTAGTTCAGTGATAACTGCTTACTTGCGGATATACGTAATAATCTCTAAGCGTAACGAGCTACGCTATACGATATACGAGATACTATATATTATATCCAATGAGCGTTAGTACTTGTCATGACCTCTAGTGGTAATGGCTCTGTATGTAACTGAATTTATTACCACCACGAGCTATGTCTCCTATGTCTATGTATCTCAACCACGAGCTATGTCTTCTATGTCTATGTATCTTAACCACAAGCTATGCCGTCTATGTCTATGTATCTCAACCACAAGCTATGCCGTCTATGTCTATGTATCTCAACCACAAGCTATGCCTTCTATGTCTATGTATCTCAACCACAAGCTATGTCTTCTATGTCTATGTATCTCATCCACAAGCTATGCCTTCTAGGTCTATATATCACAACCACAAGCTATGTCTCCTATGTCTATGTATCTCAACCACAAGCTATGCCTTCTATGTCTATGTATCTCAACCACTAGCTATGTCTTCTATGTCTATGTATCTCATCCACAAGCTATGCCTTCTAGGTCTATATATCACAACCACAAGCTATGTCTCCTATGTCTATATATCACAACCACAAGCTATGTCTTCTATGTCTATGTATCTCAACCACGAGCTATGTCTCCTATGTCTATGTATCTCAACCACCAGCTATGTCTCCTATGTCTATGTATCTCAACCACGAGCTATGTCTCCTATGTCTATGTATCTCAACCACTAGCTATGCCTTCTATGTCTATGTATCTCAACCACCAGCTATGTCTCCTATGTCTATGTATCTCAACCACTAGCTATGCCTTCTATGTCTATGTATCTCAACCACAAGCTATGCCTTCTATGTCTATGTATCTCAACCACGAGCTATGTCTCCTATGTCTATGTATCTCAACCACTAGCTATGCCTTCTATGTCTATGTATCTTAACCACCAGCTATGTCTCCGATGTCTCCTATGTATCTCAACCACTAGCTATGCCTTCTATGTCTATGTATCTCAACCACGAGCTATGTCTCCTATGTCTATGTATCTCAACCACTAGCTAGCTATGCCTTCTATGTCTATGTATCTCAACCACGAGCTATGTCTCCTATGTCTATGTATCTCAACCACTAGCTAGCTATGCCTTCTATGTCTATG